AAATTATGTTGTGTCAAGTCTGGGTGAAAACCTGGACCTGACATAAGCACATGAGGTAATACTCTACAATTTCCCCTGAACTATGAGTTTGGGGGGAATTCCGGAGTGTCACCCAACATGCTGACTCCATGTCTGGTTTTTTACCTCCAAAGTTCCTGGAGGTGTCAGACAATAGCCTGACAACCCTAGATCAGGCCCACGCTTTTTTATCTTTAGCAAAGCTGCTGCATCAGGTGTACCATACCATTCACTGAGCCCCAGTTTTGCATATTTCTGGCAGCAGCTTGCATTAATGTGGAAAGCATCCACATGATCCATGAACATAATGAAGAACAGTTCTACAACTGACATGGAGTGCTAGTGCCCTCTGTGTTGTAAGTGTGGCAAATGTACCTGTCCTGGCTCTCAGTGATGTCTTCAGAGAAAGACTTGGCAGCAAATGCAGAGTCAGAGTTGCCAGACTTGTGTAGGACCCAATCAAGGTCTGCTAGTTTGATACCATCCTCATCTTTCTCCCACATTAATAACTCTAAGCCAGGATGGGGAGAATTTAATAAAATGGAATATAGAACTGGAATATAGAATTGGGGTTAGATGGTTTAGGTTAATAAGTGAGAGCTGTTCTACACATTATACAGAATGGAGAAGTAGAGTGAAAGTGGAATTAGTTATTATTTTAGCAAACACATGGTCCCAATCTTATGATTGCTGAGATAATAGCAAGAGGGACACTTGCAAAGAGGATCAGAGGAGGGAGGGGCACTTAATCCCTCCCACACCTGCCAGTTCTTCTATGCAATACCCAATTTTATCCAAGGTAATTTTTCTCTTTGCTACTCAGTTTTGGAGTGAGGGAGGGGGTATTAGAATTTATGTGCAAGGACCATTTGCAGGGAAGGATTAGAAGATGGGGACAGGGTTGAACACCCCCACCCGACATCCCCTTATTCTTCTAGCAGGTGCTACCTTCAGCCCTTTAATGCATGTTGTAAAAGATGCCATTCTACAGATAGGGACAGATCTCTTTCAGATATTCTGGGGAAACTGGTTATTATCTGTGATCGTGTAAAAATATTATTTGTCAGAAGATAAAGAAAAGTATCTGACACAATATTTTGTATGTACCCGGATTGCAAAAAAAAGAGAAGACATTTGTACAACAAATTAGTCTCTTCTTCCTGAGATAATTTGTTTCGAAGGAATCCAAATCTACCTTCGTGTGTGCTTTGACAGTATGACAGCTATTTAGCTAGACTGATCTTATAGCTGAATTTTAATTAATTGTTGGTTCATATTGTGATAGCTGTTCGTTTTAAATAGCAAAAAAGATCCACTCACACAATCACGTGGACCTATGTGAGCCCAATTTATTGTGTAGCTAGTCATAACCTCCCCTGAAATGCCCACAGCTAGGGTCAGTTCTTGGTTGGGTCCATCATAGTTGAATGCAGGCTTTGCATTTCCCCCCCATCTTTGGCCTGTCTTAAGAAACAGGCTTTTGTCAGAAATTGAATTATATTAATTTAGGCGGGGAACCTACTGAAGTTAATAGGACTTAAGTGAATGGGTTTAACACAGGCTCTAACCTAAACCTATAATGCTTCTGCAAAAAGGCCTTGGCAAAGTCTATGCTGCCTTAGCTGATGTGGTCTAGTTAGTCCTCTAAACAGATCGCCCAGGTCCCTAAATACTCAAAAGGAAAGTAAGATACAGTGTGAGCTGATTGTTTATTACATCTATATCTCACCTCTTTTCTGTATGGAGGCCAAGGTAACAGACATAAGTTCTCGCAGCCAGGTGCTGACCTGACCCAAATCCGCTTACCCTCACCAAGATCCCTGCATCATGTGTTTTCCAGCCAGAGACAACCCAAGGATCAACAAATGGCCTTGGGAAAGTAGCTGTCTGTCAGACAAATTAATGAAAAATTGTAACTCATTCCTCCAATATTTGTATTTTTATGTAAGGATTACTATTAACATTTATTGATTATGATATATGGTCCATGGCTACTTAATTCTCTGCTGATAATGACAATCTTGTGACTGGGGGAAGAAATAAAAAAAATCTGAATAATTAAATGCATGTGTCAGCATTACAAAACTATTCAGGAACTACAAAACAAATATATTACTAGCCTGCTGTTCTGCCTAATACTACACAAAGTGGTTCAGTTGGATTTACTCCCAAGTAAGTGTACATAGGACTGCAGCCTAACAGACAACTCAGTTATACCAGTGAGCTATATCAAAATGGGTAGCCATGTTAGTCTGTCTGTAGCAGTAGAAAAGAGTCCAGTAGCACCTTAAAGACTAACAAATTTTATTAGTTTTTAAGGTGCTACTGGACTTTTTTTAGTTATGCCAGGGATGAGCAATTTCTATATTTTCCAGGCATTGGTTCACAGGGGCCAGAACTATCTGTTGTTCACACAGGTGACTGGATTAATAACAAAAGTTGGTTGTTGTAGCAGTAAGCAGTAGGAGTCTCTCAGGTATGGTGAACCTATGCTCAGATTGTCCAAGGTCCTCAGTGAAGGGAGGGTGGAGCTGTGGAATGAATATCCTTCCTGAAAGATCCACTCAAGGAACAGATAGGCAATCAACCTTTGCCTTTCCCAAAAGAGTATGATAACAAAACAATTTGTGTGTGCACAGTTCTTTTCTCTACATGCAAGAGCTACTTTTGAAACCATACTTTGATTAAAATTTGGTAGGGCTATTGGGACAACTGGGAGCTGATCCTCACACCCACATACTCAGCAAGTATCTAACATATACACTGCCAAAACATATTGGCGAGTGTTGCAGTCATTATTGTGAAAATAAAATGCTTATTAAAAATAAAATAATAATAGAATGGGGAAAGTGGCAAAATTAATTGTCCTTAAATATTTAGCATGCACATACTCTGCTGATATGTGTCTTTTTAAGGCTGCATCCACAAATTCATACTCTCAGTCCTGATTAATCCAGAATAATTACCATTTCTTGGCCCTAGAGCTCTATCCTATATTTATGGCGATTAATGCTTCCTCAGACCAAATGATCTGCAGCCAGTCACTCCATTGTTGTACCTAGCTACTGACAACACATCCATGGCCACTGATGAATTTCAAAGTCAAGGAATTTCCAAATGACCATAGTGCTGGGTATATTTTTCCACTGGGGTTACCTTCCCTGACCCATCTTGGCTAGATTGAAGAGGACGGGAGACCCTGAGATTGGGTTAAGGAAACGGTATGTGAAGAGGAGTCGTGGGCTGAAAACACTGTGGGCTGAGAGATGGCATGAGAAGATAAAAATGGCACAGTAGGAATAGGAAATATTCCTAACATGCAGAAATTCTCCTCTTCTACCTTTAACCCTGTAATCAAATCACTGGATTTCAATATAAAAAAGGATGGCACTTAATCTGCCTTAAGTCTTCTTTCAACTGTGTTTCTGCTTGCGATTAGTGATGTCATCTATATCCTACTAATACCAGTAACCGTTTACAGCTAACCAACGAAGTGTGTGCAGCTTGGTTTTCTCATTATTGCTTACTTTCCAAATACGCACATCTGGGAATTAAATTTTATATTAGTTGCGGATGCAGATTGTGATGCTAAACCAAAGGCCTTGCAGATAAGATGGGATGTTCAAAGAAGAGAGAGAAATCATTCTCCTGATCATTCTAATAACTGAAATAAACATTAGTTTCTCATACCCCCTGCCCCAGAGACTCAAGCCTGCAACGTTTTTGTATTATCTTAACCTCAGAACATGTGACCTAATAATTCACATGAACCTCCACCACACATGCAAGAGCAGCTGAGAGGAAATGAACTTCTTCTGTCACTTGGACAGTCTAAACTATGCATTCTTCACGTACTTGATTGTAAGTCACACTGAACTCAATGCGCTTTACCTCTCAGTGACATGGTTAGGATAGAAGTGCACTCAAACTTTCAGTATCAACCAGGTGGGTAGCCATGTTGGTCTGAAGCAGAACAAAGTTTGAGTCCAGTGGCACCTTTAAGACCAACACAGTCTTATTCTGGGTATGAGCTTTCCTGTGCAAAGAACACTTCTTCAGATACAATGAAATGTTAATAGAAATAACAGTCATACATACACATAGAGGGTGGGCAGTAAATTATCCTGTATGCCTCCAGTAAAACTTTGTTGGTGTTAAAGGTGCCACCGAACCTTTTTTCCAGGATTATTTTAGCAAAACCAGACTCGACTGTGCGACTGAACAACAACAACAACTTTAAAGGGCCATCGGTGGCTCAAGTGCTAAACTACCCCGGGCTTCATCCCACGAAAGATTAGGCTTCATTAAATCTGATACATTTCCAATCTGCCTTTCTAAGGGTGTGTACAATCTGCGGTGGCTCAAGTGGTTAAGACGCTGAACTGCAGGCTGTGGAAGGTCAGTAGTTCAGCAGTTCGAGACCTGAGTGTGCCGCATGACGGAGTGAGCTCCCATCTCTGGTTCCAGCTCCTGCCAACCTAGCAGTTCGAAAGCAAGAAATTGCAAGTAGAGAAATAGGGACCACTTCGGTGGGAAGGTAACAGCGTTCCGTGCGCCTGGGTGTTTAGTCATGCCGGCCACATGACCACGGAAACGTCTTCGGACAGCGCTGGCTCTTCGGCTTTGAAACGGAGATGAGCACCGCAACCCTAGAGTCGGACTCGACTGGCTTTCGAGCAAGGGAACCTTTACCTTTTTTACAATCCACAAAACTGTTTGTAGAGTCACCGACCCGCAAGAAAGGACAATGCAAGCGACACCCGTTTCAGACGCGGCCAGAGGTCGGATTAAACCCTTGCCTTAAAAACAGGCTGAGCACGTCTTGAACCCGGCGGCCGGGTGGCCACAGCGACACTCCGCTGACCGCTTGCGAAACGAACCCCTCGGCCTACTCGGCAGTCACGGAAGGGCGGGCCGGAGGGAGGCCTCGGTGGCATAAGAAGGCGTGGCCGAGAGCTCCGGGCCATTGTTGCTGCCGGGGCGAGAAGAAGCGGGAGAAGGCGAGCCGGCGTGCGGAGCTGCAGGATGGCTGTGGAGAGCGCCCGCGACTGCGCCGTGGCTTTGGTCAGGTGAGGCGTGGCTGCACCGCCGCTGAGCGAGAGGCGGGTCCCGTTGGGTTTTCGGTGGGCTGACGACTGACTCCCGAATGAGCGCGCCTCGGACGGGGGTCTCTGCTGCGTCTGCAGTGGACTGTGGGGGGGGAGGGAGGGAGGCGCTCTTTGTTTGGCCAGGAGACCGGGCGGTCTCTTCGCTCCGCTCTAAGGTTCTCAGACTAGGCGGGAGCAGCTTTGGCTCCTATCTGCCGTGAGGGCTTTTGAGACACGCCGCTTCCCGGTCCTTGCCCGGCAGAAACTCTTCATACGGTGGCTGCTGTTTGCTGCACCCGGACTGTGGTTCTCCGTCCTGCTGCTGGGCAGGAGGGGCCAGCAACATTTTACAAGCCGCCGAGGCGCTTCAGAATTCAGAGTAAGAGGTCCATAAAGAGCCCGTATAAGAAAGTCCATTTGCCTAATTAAACTGCTTATTTTAACGCTCCTGGTAACTGGCATGTTGACTAACAGTTCTTAAGTTTTCTGCATCCCCGAAACTTTTGTGAGTTTTTAATTAGGAAGTGGCTCTCCTGAGGGAACCCCCAAAGGGTTGAAGGGGTAACTTCATTTTCTCCTGAATCCCTTCCTCCCCCTTACTATGTCCTCTTTTTCTTCTCTTGACAATCACCCCTTTTCCTTCCCTCTTTCCTTGTGTTGCTCTCTCCTTGCCCTTCATCAATCAACCTTTCTTTTATGTGCCTCCAAGCCTTCATCTTTAATTATTACTTATGTACTTCATTTAGACACTGCCTTTCTCCACAATGGGAACCCAGAAGAGCTTCTATAGTTCTCACGTTGTCTGTTTTATCCTTTCAACAACCATGTGAAATGCATCCGGCTGAGAGAGAGTGAAGCAGTTCAAGGTCCCCCAGCAAGCTTCCATGGCAGAGCAGGGCTTTGGTGGGGGGTCTCCCAGATCCTCGTCTGATTCTCTAACCATGACACCACATAGGCTCTCAGTTTTCCCTCTCCCTGGGAAAAGTCTGGACACATTGAAAAAGTCATCCAATAGCAAGTCGCTCAGATGAGTTGTGTGCAATGTTCCCTCTAAGCTGTGGAGTCTTGTGAGCAAAAATTCTGCTTTGTGAGCTACCGGCATTAAAGTTGTGAGCAGGTGATTTGGCTGCTGCATAAATCAGTTTGCTCTGGAGCCATCCTTCCTGAGCTAAGACCAAAAACCAGAGCCGGAGGCTAAAAAAATGTGAGCTAGCTCACAATAACTCAGCTTAGAGGGAACATTGGTTGTGTGGTGGCCATTTCTGGGCCTAGTTATCTTGCACAAGTTGTGTAGAGGCTGCTGTTCGGCCCAGGTAAGTAGTGTGGCATCAGGTTGTGGCCACTGTTGCAACTGGGTGAAATGTGCAAACTGAACGATGGCAAGTCGCCTGGTGACTACTGCTGAGCAGAGCCTCAATGTGGTTTGAAGGCTGGCAATACTGTTGTAGTTGTCTGGCAATTTCCACAATGACCCCTGAGGTCTCCTTTCTTAAAGGTACAGGTATTGTATCTATTATTTTGGGGTATTTTAATCTCTCTCTCGAGATACAGATTCTTAGATTTCAGATTTTTCTGCAAGTTTGGGGCTTTTCTCTGGTTTGTAGAAATCTCTGTTTTGGCTGTCCATATGCATATTGCTGACAATTAGATATACTGATATGCGCAGGAGCACTCTACACAGTTCTCGCTTGGTTTATTGGCAACTGTTCATCCCTGCCATATTCCATGTCCGTAATGCCTGTCTAAGGAGCCCTTTAGTCCCACAGAAATCTTTACCTGCCATTCCTTTCACATCTTGGTTATTCTAGCATCCCACTTAAAAGATTTTACTTTCTTTTTAAAGAGCCACACTTTGCTCTTTAAATATTACTTAGAGTCCAATCTCTTTTATTAGGACCAATCTCAGTATAACAAAAGTACAAACACAAACTCCTGAAAACTCTTCATTAGTCCTTCTGTTCAGTACTAGAGCAAAAGAGGGAATCAGGTGGGTACTATTCTTTGTTCTGTGACTTTAAGTAGCTCTTATTTTTGCTTGTGTCCTTTGCTTTAAAATTAGCAATTAGCTAAAGTGTGAATGTGCAGCTTTTAAAGGGGTGAGGTCCTGTGCATACTACTCCAAGCTGTAAATAATCTGTACTATGTCTGGAGCAGCAGGTGCCGTCTCCCCTAAGGAATGGGGTAAGGGGCATGCTGTTCAGTAACATCTGTCTTCTAAGCTTATTATTTAGTAACCCTAGGATGGGCTTGCCAGTAGCCTTACTCCTGACCACTATCTTTTCTTGGTATGATGACATTGCTTGCATAAATGCAGATTTGTTGCATGCAAATACCTCACTTAGAATATGGCTGCAAAGTGGCACTCTTTTAAAACTATTCCTGTTAGCTGGAAGCTCTTTGAAATGTGTTTGGAAGGAGCTTTAATATAACCACTTTCACCTGTGACCCTTGTCAGTCATAATTTAAAGTTGTGTAAAAGAGGTGCTATCTCTTGGGTGTATTTAATGTAGGCTTTATACTGATGTTTTGGGCAAAGTAAGAAGCTGGGCATCTTGAAGTTCTTCTTGTGCCAAAATGCCACTGGGCTAAAGTTCTACTGTTGGTTACAAAAATCCCCTTGAGCTTAGTAGGGCTTATTTCCAAGTAAACATGCTTAACAGTGAGGCCTTTTTATTCTTTGAAAAGGCTGTGCTTAATGCTGACCAGGGCTTGTTCAGTCACAGGTTGTGAAGGCATACCGTATGGTATCCAATCTGGTGTTGACATCTGTCTAGCTTTCCACCACAGGGTAGCTCTTGCCCCACTTAATCCTCCAGCCCTCTAACGAGTGTTATGAAAGTAGGCTTTTATTAAAGCTGCGAAGTAATGGAACTCTGTTGTAGATAAATATGAACTGTAGACATTAAATGAACTAGTTCCAGAGCTAACTACAATACAGATACACTGTGTTGTGAATCTGTACATAGTATCTGTTTGGTGCAAACTAAAGTGCGTGCAAACAGATATGTAAATCTTAAAACACGTAGTTAATAGAAACACTTCGTTCCTCAGTAGTGTTGTTTTTTTAAGTTAGCTGATGTCTCTAACACAAACTTCATCTGCTGTAGTTGCAAGGGAAAAGATCCCAAACAAAATGTTTTGCTGTTTAGGTATTTTAGACAAACATGGTTGGTTTACTTTAGCAAAACAGCTGCTCTTTTAAGGTTGCTGCAGTCCTAGCTACATGTGGGAGTTGGTTACATTTAACTTGGAGGGACTGATGTTTGCAGGAACATGCAGAGGGACTGGACTGACCACTGAAAGTAGCTGGATCCAATGTTGTCTAGTATAAATGAAGACTTCAGTCGTTCTCATTAAAAATTTCCAGCTTTTCTAAAAGGAAAAAATTGAGAAAGTCCTCAGTCTTTCAGATTTTTTTGGGCCTTTCCATCTCTAATCTGTAGTTGATAATATACAAGTATTTCTTTACTGAGACCCAGCTGAGCTCTGAGCAGGAGACAGAGCTGCTAGAAGGGTGAGTGTTTTTTTACTTTACCCATCCAAATACTTGCCAGGGTTGGCCCTGCTTATCTTCCAAGATCTGATGAGATCAGGCTTGCCTGGGCTATTCAGGGCTCTGTTGTTGTTTTTAAGAATTAGCTGTTTGTACATGAGCCAGCTTCAGAGGACGGCGGAAGACAGGAAGGCCTGGTGTGATCTGGTCCATGGGGTCACAAAGAGTCGGACTCGACTGTGCGACTGAACAACAACAACAACATGCTAGAGAAGGGCTATGGTTCCTTTGTGCTGAAGAAAACCACTGTGCCGTCCCTTTAGAAAATAGCCATATAGGGTACTGAATATGGTCGGTCTTAACTTCAACCCCCACCTCTGCAACCACCATGCAGTAGATCCATTGAACTAAACACCCTGTTTTTGTTGCAGGTCTTTGGTGTCTGTGGGAGCATCTCTAGGGTCTGTTACAAAGCAGACCCTATCTGCTGCCCTTCCGCCTGCAGCTCGGCCCTTCCGGGTCTGTAACCATAACAGAAGCAGCCGCAGAGGAGTTGTTGCAAGCAGCCTACAGGAGCTTATTAGCAAGGTAGGCTTCTTGTTGAAAACCATATAATTGGATTCCTAAACTGCCTCGCACTGCTCTGCGCCAAAGGGGAAACTGCTGCAGTTTGTTTTAGCAAATGGCAAAAAAGTTCCGTCTTTGGGCTCTAAAGCCCAGCTTTATTGCACAGCCTTTAATAGTTGGATTCAAGGTGTACAGCCTGATGCTGTCTCAGTGGGACAGGTGGTAAAGATGCATCATTAGTTCCGGAACTCTAAGGGTCTGCTCCACATTCAGTCCTCTTTATGTTGCGCAGGTAAAGCTATAAACTGGTTCATAGCTTCATGATTAAGCCAGTTTGTGAAGCAGGAAAGAGGTAATAAGGGTTGGATTAGATTGGTGCCAATTGCACCCATGCATCAACATTGGGATGCTGCTTCTGAGGACCACTTGAGCTCTACAATTGAGGTGCTGTAGATTAAAGGGCAAATGTGAGAAAATCTAGACTTCTTTCCAACATCACTAATTTGACTGCTAGCTTGGCAGTAGTAGAAGCAGTTCTCTTTCAAAGGTGGTTGGAGGAACTTAGCAGATTAGCATGGGTTTACACAGCTCTGCTTTGGTAAATTTGCTCTGTTCGAAAGTTGTCTGCTTGATGGTGGTTTTGTATGGCAGCTTGGTGGCTGACGTGTGGAGGCAACTTGAGTTTGTATATGTGCTGAACTAGGAACTCTGGGGCAAGGAGGAGATAATCAAGAGTTGTTTTCACAAAGGCATTGGTTCCAAAAAGTAACTCTGCTGCCTTCTCTCTAGACCCTGGATGCCTTAATGATTACTGCTGGATTGGTAGCACTAGTTTTGGAGGAAGATGGCACAGTGGTGGACACAGAAGACTTCTTCCAGTCGCTGGGAGACAACACACACTTCATGCTTCTGGAGAAAGGACAGAAATGGAAGCCCGTAAGTTGTTTGTGCACAGGTGGGATATTACAGGAAGGAACTAGGTGGGCACGTGTTTGAGACTACTGAGCTTCAGATGTGGTGCTTTAGGCCTAAGTGTTATTGTTTCAAACTACTAGGGCCAACTGAACCCCAAGAGGAGGCAGCTGCCTCAGATATAGTTTCTTGGGGAGCAGCAAGTATTGCTTGGCTCTTCTGAGGAGCATCTCACCCTTTGCTTTCTGTACTTCTCAAAGCCAGCGAATCCCTCCTCTGAACCCCTGTGGAGCAACCAGTCCTTCTCCTTGTACCCCTTTGCATTAGGCAGTGCTCTGGCTAGTCCAGCCAGATGAGACTGGCTTAGGTATTTATATCCTGCTTCCCCCTTCCCCCAGTGGGGACCAAAAGCCTCATACAACATTGTTCTCTCCTTCTCCATTCTATCCTCATACCAACCCAGTGAGGTGGGTTAGGTTGAGTGTGACTAGGCCAAAGTAACTGAGTGAGCTTCCATGGCTGTGTGTGTGTGTGTGTTTGACTCTAGGTCTCCCAGATCTAGTCTGGCACACCAGCAGCTGTAGTGGGCTGGCTTTCCACTGATTTTATGGCAGTGGTCAACCAAAGCAGATGCTAATGTTTGGTTGAATCCCACCAAAGGCAGCTTATCTAAATGCTTTACTTTTAGTGCTCTTCTGCTGTAAAGGCACTAGGTGGCAGATGTACATCTACAATTGCATAGCAAGGAAGAGAAATTTGCAGTAAAGACACCTATTCCTGTTTTAAACCTTTCAATAAACTGTCACCCTAGCTGTGAATTGTGAGGCTGAATTTCCCTAGTGGAGGAAATGACAGCTTCCCCCAGGCCATTTCAAGTCAAGATGGTGGTGCAGGGGAAGGCTTATAGTCCCGGTCTGAATGGAGCCAGCAGGCCCTGGGGGATGGAACCCTCAGAACATGACTGGCTGACAGCACTGGGGTGAACATGCAGAGTTTTGAGCCAAGTCTCTTGGCCACTGTGCTACAATGGCTTTCAATAGTTTACTGTGCCAATTCAGCCTCCCTTTTGGGCATTGGTGCCTACTGCAGGGGATGTATTGTATAGGGAAGTGAGTAGTCTTGTTCATTGGAGGGTTTTCCTAAAGTCCTTCTAATCTTCTCACAGAGAAACACGGGGTCTATCAGTGACTGTTAACTGGAATACCTTTCTGTTCAGAGGCAGTGTGTCTGGAGAGCAATTGCTGGTTGTGAATGAGAAGATTGCTGCCTTAAAGCTCGGGGGGGGGGGGTTGTTCCCAAGATTGTCTGTTTCTTGTGATTGGAAATGAGATCCTAGCTACACTAAAGGAGCCCTTTAGTCCAATCCAAGCAGGACTCTGGCTGTATGTATTATATAGGCATGGGCAGACATTTTGTGCTTTGTTTTGGACAGCTAAATGTCCTGAGTTGGCACTGCAAACTATCTCTAGGAACGTAGGTCTGGAGTAGGCCAGGATTGCCATTTGTGCCTGCCTTTTGCAGCTTTAAATTTAAAGGCTATATTCCTGTTCCTTAAGGGAAGAAAGTAAAAGCCTTGTGTCATGGCATCCATCACTGCTGGTCTTCATCTTCTTCCTGCTACCATGCAAGCTTTTCCTATTACTCCTCTTGCATTTTTAGCTCTGCTCAACTCTCTCAGCCACTGAATCTGTACCATGTGAGCTTAGCTCTGTTTCTGTGTGAAAGACAGCACATGATACCCATCTTTCAAAGCAACTGGTCAGGTGGCCTCTCAAGGCCTTAAACTACTGGCACTTGGTATGCAGACCTCATACTTTGGCACACAGTGAAAACTCTTTCCCAGGCAAATAGCTCTCTGTTTCATCAGAGAAGCTGGACTGACCACAACTTCTTAAACATTTGGAATGTGTAAATATTCTAGGATAGCTTATCTGCTTGCTGCCTTATACTTGCCATCATATAATTCCTTGGTGAATGGCTACTGTACATGCAAGCCATCCTTAGTATAAACAACACTTTTCTTGGTCATTTATTAAGGTAACTAAATTTGAGACAAAAGCATTGCCAAATGCATTACAGTAGCCTGAAGTGGAATGGAATATGAGACTCCATAATCTGATTTCTAATAAAGCCAGGACCTTTGCATCAAACTGGATGTGGCATTGGGCAATCATGAACAGAGCTCTTGCAGCTAGATACAAGTCCAGCACCACCTTAGAGACCAACAAGATTTTCAGGGTATGAACTTTCAAAAGTCAAATCTCCCTTCATTGGATCTCCTGCAGTTTTTCAGCCTTAATGAGATGCCATAAATATACATATAACCTGCTTTCTGTAGTATTTCAGTGTTGGAGATTATTCATCCCTTTCCTAGTCCTGAAGACAGGGTACCTAGGAGCAAAGTTAGAGGTGATCAAAGCGTAGCTATGAGCTGCATGTATTTCTTTAGTTGGTAACATGCAGATTGGGGGCCTGCACATCTTAGCTCACACAACACTTGGGTGTCCTCTGTCCACTCTTTCTGTAGCTAGCTGCCACCCACAATTGGCTAGGGAGCTGCAGAGATTCACACCATCACTCCTCTTTTTATTTATTTATTGCATTTGTGGCCCACCCTCCCCGACATGGGCTCAGCGTGGGTAACATCACAATGTTAGTTACAATAAAACTCCATTTACAATATAATAATTAAACTGTCACAAGCCTGTAGAGAAGAGAGGCAGACGGATGTAAGCAGAGAAACCAGATTGGCAGAGGTGCCAGCTTTGCTTACCTAACCCTGCTAGTGATTATGAATTTGAACCCACGTCTTGCTAATCACAGGGTAGTCCTCAGTGTGCTGCATAACATACTAACTCTAGAACTACAGTAGCTTTCAAGTCAGGGTTGTTATCGTCACACATTCTGAAGGAACCTACATCTGGACCAGCAAAAGCAGACTGAGGCAAGTGGAGTGCCTTGTCCGCATGCTGCTGTATAAACTGGATGCCAGTAATTTTTACAAGCTGCAGAGTGTGGAATTCTGTGTGCTTACAGAAGAAATAAGCTGTCTGCTATAATAAGGCGCTAAGAACAACATAGCAAATAGCAATCAGTAGTGGATTTAATGGAAAAAGTAATATAACTGTTTAAACAAGTCAATCTTGTGTATCATCACAGCTTTCAGCATAACAGTACGAAGTACAGTTTAGAGCTATTAAATTGAAATTGTTGTCTAGGCCGTATACAAATGTGAAAGCCTGCCCTGTTTGTTCTATCTAGGGGCCAAACTATGACATCACAACTATACTGAAGCCCAAGAAAATGGGAGTAGCAAACATTACCTTGGATTTGTACAAGCTGAATCCGAAAGACTTCATTGGATGTCTAAATATCAAAGCTACCTTCTACGAAATTTACTCTGTGTCCTATGACATCAAATGCATGGGAGCGAAGAGTATACTGCGGTAAGTGTATGCTTCTAGGAACAAAAAAGTTTTTATTTTATGTTAAATAAGCTGAAGTAGTGAACTGCACTGTTAAAGACATCTTGCATTACTTTGACTCACTTAGCCAGAAGTCCAAGAAAATAAGTTGGGCAACAAGCTCTAATGGAAGACATATAGGTTCCATTTTTTTGCCGTCAAGTCTCAGCCAACTTAGTGTTGACTCCTCGGGTTTTCAAGGCAAGAGACCCTGGACTTTCTTGGTGTCTCCTATCTTAAATACTACCTAGGTCTAACCCTGGTAAGTTTCCAAGATCTGACAAGATCAGGCTCTCCTGGGCTATCCAAGTCAGGGCTGTAGGTGCCTCCAGCTTGCCATTATTTTACAGTAAAGTCTTCAAGTGGGATTTTGACTTGCTTTACCAACACTGTGCAATGTCATCCAAAAAGTTGCCATCAAAAGTGGTAGCTGAAATTTTCTAGAATAGCAAGTTTTCTGTTTTCTAAGGCAGACAGCTTTGAAGGCTTTTCTCTTTACTGGAAATTGACTGTCAGTAACTTGTTATCTGTTGAACATATAGATGTGTTGTACAAGGGAGGCAAGTAAAGGATTGGGTAAGATAGGCAGAAAAGAACTGTAAGGTTCTCTGCAGTGCTGTCTGAGTCCAACTGGAGACACCAGGTGGTGGTAGTGCTTGCAGCTTCTGAAGAGGAAATGGAATTAAGAAAGTCCTTGAAGATGTTCAAGTGACATTTTTTGCCACTTCATTATAAGATTCAAGAGAAACAGGAATATGTAGCCACACTAACACCTAGCTTCTAGATTCCCCAACTTTAGCAAATAATAAGTTGGGACTCAAATGACCTACATCCGGAGTAATATTTTGTGGACTAGAGCCTACTTCACCTGGTGCATGTACTGGATCTTCAGTGTGCAGCTGTTGTAAAATGAGAGTATGACAAAAATACCAGGGTCAAGGTGCCATTAAATGAAATACAGGGTAAAATTCAAATGTAATCAAGTATACAAGACAATGCATAATAGCTGAGATAGTGATTTGTTACAGGGCCAATTCCTGAATGTTCGGTTAGATTGGATGTCCTTGATTCTTGCCCTAATTTACCATAGTAATCAGAGAAGGGATACATGAGCTTACTTGACTTCAAAGGAACTTTGTTCAAAATAAAAATTTGTGAAGTTATTCTGGTTTAGTCTTCTTCCCACCTGACGATATTGGTAAGCAGTCTTGATAGGCTTGCCAAGTCCTATGGTTTTCCCTCGGATGGTCGTGGCCCCGCCCCCAGTGTGCCCGGCGGCGTCACGTCACTTCCGGGTGACGTGCGTGCGGCGCACGTGCGCACACTCTAGCTGCCAGCCGTGAGTCCCCCGCTGCGGCTCAAAAAACACTTGGCAACCCTAAGTCTTGATGGTGATCCATAGGAAGTGGATCTAGGAAGATGTTGCTACATCACTACAATGTCCTTGTTGGCAAGACAGAATTAGACCTGATTATAGTAGCCAGAAGAAATGCACAGAAGAGGGAATCCTTTCCCTTTCTAGTATATTGCAAGTATAAATTTATTGCTCACAAGGCTGATCTTTGTTTGAAGAGTCTAACTTCTAACTAAGCAAGTATGTTTTTCTTTCTAGGAAGATTCTCCGACTTCTGTCTCACACTGCACAAGTAACAGGACAGCTTCTTCTCTGCACGGGAACATATGTGCTACAGTTAATGGGTGACTGTGAGGATGATCTGATTAAAAATATGAAGCACTAAAATGAGCACAAGAGCCTTAAATAGTAGTTTTCCAGCTGACCCACTTCAAGCATTCTTCTTGGAACATTTTAAAAACAATATTGATCCTGTGTTTAATTGTCTCAAATTGAGCTTCACACTTGACTGATCAAAATGTAACTGAACAGCCTTTCTCTTTAACTTTTAGGTTTTTAGTTGTAAGATAATGATGTGAGAACTGTAAATATGATCGGAGTCTTTTTAATGCAGTGAGAGGTAGAGGAGCTTTTGTGCCGTACCTCCAAAATGAAGAGATCTAGCAGTAGCAAGGAGACAATCACTGATGTTTGTCAAGTGACATCACTAACTGCCACGTCCTGTTTGACAGCCATGTTGTGCATTCTGAATGGGCTTTTTGTGGCTTTTGTGGAAGCCTCAGCATTAAGCTACCACTTAAAAGTGTTTATCTCTTTCACTAAAGTGTAAATTTAAAAAAGAACAGTTTCAGTACTGACTTGTATTTAGTGCTTTAACTCAAGGATAACTGGTTTTCAAGGGAAGTGTTGCCTACACATATCTACTCGTATTGGCAAAGCAGATCAGAAGGTGGGTCTGCAAACAGGAAAGAAAGTAAAACATTGAGCAATGAACAGCCTTCTCTTTTCCCCACCCTATACTCGCATACAGCAGCAGGAAGCAGTGCTCTAGGGAGATATGAAGCAGTAGTTGCCAGCTCATCTCAGATCTGTATGCATACCTGGCAATGGAGGCACACTAAAGAAAAGTGCAAAGGTTACCCACATTTTGTAGGCTTGGAAGCTGTATTCAGAGTAAATGTGGGTGTATCAAGGTGAGGAACAATCAATGCAGCTGTGTGCCTAGAAGTAAGCTGATGACTGCAAATTGGCTCATTCATTCATCTGCAAAGCCAGCGTAGTGTAGCAGTCAGAGTGCTGGTCTAGAATACTTAAATTCAAATCACCCCCTCTGCCATGGGTGACCATAGTCCAGCTATTCTGTCAGTCAAACCTAATCTACAAGGTGCTGGTTGTGTGGAAGAACTGGAGGGGAGGATGTTGTAAGCCACTTTGCATCCCCACTGGGGAGAAAAGCAGAGTTGAAACATATAAGGACAAAATTAAAAGAGCAGAAAGAGATGAGGCCATAGGAGAATGAAACTAGCACAGCCTTTCTTTTTTTTGCCATATTTTGTATACTTCTATCAAAATTTGGTCATCTTGCTACTTTCCAGAACAAATGTAAGGGAATCCTGGTGCTGTGGGTTTATTTGAACCCAAAAGGTTATATGCAATAACCTCAAGTCACTTCCTGTGAGTTGATATAACGAATGTGTAAAATTTGCATCTTCACTTTCTGCATCAAGAAAACTTATGATTCTCCTAATCTGGCACTGCATAACCTAAAAGAAAGAAGAAATAGCAGTTATATGCTGCTAACTGCTTACTACATTTAGGCTGAAACAAAATTAAGAATTGCACCAAACTGGGAAGATTAAACTGGAGTAGTTCTCATTATAATAACAGTGGAAGATAGTAAGTACCTTCAGATAAATCCACACAACTCATAACCCAACAAGATGAGCCCCGCTTTTCAATTCTGTTATGACCTCCCAGAATCCTGTTATATTCAGCCCTCTGTGAAGGCAAGAAAGGCAAGCAACAGTGCACAGTTAGCAAGGTATTTAGTGCCAACCTGCCTTATGATAATCTGGGACAATTGATGGCTGTTGCAGATCTTTCAGTACAGACATGGTCAGAGGCTTTTTGTGTTACAGAGAATCACTGAAGTCTCAGCCTCTGAGAAGCCTACCTAGATAAATAGGTACCACTTTGGTGGGAAGGAAACAGCGTTCCGTGTGCCTTGGTGTTTAGACATGCCAGCCACATGACCACGGAAACGTCTTCGGACAGCGCTGGCTCTTCGGCTTTGAAACAAAAAGTATACAACCCTAGAGTCGGATTCGACTGGCTTTCGAGCAAGGGAACTTTTACCTTTAAGCTAAAGGGACCTGTCCTATATTGTAACATCTGATAGGGCAGGTATAGAGAGATGGACAGAGGATCTGCGTTTTACCTATTTCTTTTGGATCCCTTGCTCAATCTGGTGCTGTGCTAAAAGGATGCTTGTAAACATTTTCTTTTTAATACTTTATAACTTTTGATGCCGGTAGTGGTTCTCTGTACCACATAGACCTCCACCATCTTGGACACGCTATTTTAAAAGGGGCACCAGGGGGAAGGCAGGCAGTTGGCAAGTGGCTATTCCTTCATGGATGCATGAGGCAATAAATTGTTCCTGTGGTGACCAGACACTGGGTAGCAGGAGACACAGATGCAAGGCTTCAGAACTTGGAAGGAAAGCTGGGAGTCCTGACCCTCCCAGCAGGCAATTCCTACAAAGGTCAGATGGCAAGTTACCAGAGAGACAGAGACACTTCTCTTGGAACAGGCAGGGCGGAATAGGGCCTGCAGGCCTGAGCAGGCACATTCTGCCACATACCCTCTGCTCACTCATGTATGCTGTTGGTTCTTACAGAAGGGTAGATGTCCCCAGTGTCCTAATGGATACTTGGAGTGTGAACAACAAACAAGGTTTTTAATCCTAGGTTGAATCATGGGAGATTGATGGGTGTTGAGGGACAAAGGTTTAGACTGGAAACAATTCTGCACAACCTTCATACACCCAACTCCTGTCTTTTGAGGATGCTTATGTGCTTTTAAACTATCTGCCCATCTCTTAGAGACTAACTGATGGGCAACGAAAATTAGGGTTGCCAGGTCCTAGTCTTTCACTGGTAGGGGGTGGGAGGGACCTTTCAGGGAGTGGGGGGGTGGGGTCTGGGGTGACATTGCTGTGAGTCACAAGTCGCGACCCTGTGATATCACTATGGCGGGGACATTGCACAGTGACGCTCTGGTATTTTGGGCAAAACTCTCTGGTTACCATAGAGCCCACAAAATTAGGGGATTCCCTGCTCCTGCCTGGGGGCTGAGAACCCTGACAAGAATGGACCCTTTGTGCCTTTACTAGTAAAGGTAAAGGTTCCCTTGCTCGAAAGCCAGTCGAGTCCGACTCTAGTGTTAACAGTACCGATCTCCGTTTCAAAGCCGAAGAGCCAGCGCTGTCTGAAGACGTTTCCGTGGCCATGTGGCTGGCATGACTAGACACCAAGGCACATGGAACGCTGTTACCTTCCCACCGAAGTGGTACCTATTTATCTCCTTGCAATTTCTTGCTTTCGAACTGCTAGGTTGGCAGGAGCTGGAACTAGAGATGGGAGCTCACTCCGTCATGCGGCAACTTGGGTCTTGAACTGCTGAACTACTGACCTTCCACAGCCTGCAGTTCAGCATGTTAACCACTTGAGACACCGCAGCTCCTTTACTACAGATAATATAATAACACTGGAAAGGTAAAAGCGCACCTCCAGTAAAGCAATAGACTAAGAACCTTAGAGCTCTCTCAGTATTTGAACTCATGGCATATAGACAGCAACTGCACATGGACTTATTTTTAAATATTTGGAAACAGTTTCTGGAAACGTATGTGTAGATCCACCACCACTGTTCTATTTTATGTCTATTTTACTTTTTTTTTTCTTTTTAAACTTTATTTAGTTGCCAGATTTTAAAAAATTCCCTTTTTTTCCCTGATTTTTTTAAAGAAAGAAATTTTTTAAATACTCATGTCTTCCCTTATGAATTATAGTATGTGCATTTTTCTTTAACCATATATTTTGGTAACAAGTACAGCAGAACATATGCTAAAATATGTATGCACTTATAGTGGTACTTTGCATGCATATTCTTTTCCTTTATTGAGATGATATCCATGTAGGAAAACATGTGAACTATCCCCTTAATCAAATTATGACCTGTTCATATAAGTGAGCTGGGAAAATTTCTTGGCTGAGGCCCAGTTGCACATTGTGGGCCCTCAGTCCTCCCTGGAGAAGTTCAGTAGAGAGAGTGTGAGAGGAAAACAATTGTCTACTGGATTTTGCTTAGTAATCTAACAGGTAAAACTAGCTTCAGGCTTTTTACCTCCTGTGCAGAGAGACAAAATAAAAAGAGACCGCAGACAGGAGAAGACTGTCATAGCCAGGAAGTATTAAGAAACAACATACCAAATCCTGACTGGCTTTTCTGGCTCACTCTTATACATTAGTGAGGAAAGAGATAGTTAAATGGCAATACATTGAATTTGCCAAGGGTTGATTCCTTGCATGGCAGATTTTGTCTGGCTACACTACTAGCTGGCAATCAAACACTTTAAAATGTGTCGCTGTTTCCCTTCCAAAAAAGGAATTCTGACTGAAGTCCTCATTCTGGTTGACTCAGCCACTACTCATATTCTGTAGACAAAGTAACCCTGCTTCCTGTTTGGATTTTCCTTTGGATTTTCCCTTTTACAACCCCCTCCATGAAGAATTAAAAGAGTGCAAAACCCAAGTATAAGTTTTTTATCCAGTCCTTTTCATGCTGCCTAAGAAGCATTTCTCTGTCATGCATCTGAAGATGGTAACTTTTCAAATATAACAGTTTCGTTTTAAGAAATCATCATGGGACCAGATCAGGATTATTTTTCAAATCTGAAGGCCTGTGAGTCACAACTTGCTCAGAAACCTGCTCTAAATTCAGTCTTCCTCATCTTTTTACACTCTTTCACCCCATCAGAATATTTCCTGACAGCCTGGCTTTTCTGGAGTAGGAGCTTGCAGATACATTTCTAGCCACATCTGCCCACTAGATTCTTTGCCCCATTTATCCCCCCCATCTCCCACTACCTTATATAATCCTCTCAGGCGTCTGAGATCTAGCCAGTGAATAGGAAGTGCTTGCAGACTTTTGTCTTGGCAGGGCTCTTTTTGTAGCAGGAACTCCTCTGCATATTAGGCGACACATCCCTAATGTAGCCAGTCCTCCAAGACCTTAAAGTAGCCCCTGTAAGAAGAGCTCTGTAAGCTCTTGGAGGATTGGCCACATTAGGGGTGTGTCGCCTAATATGCAAAGGAGTTCCTGCTACAAAAAGAGAATGTGACTGCAGTCAAGGACAGTTTTAAATCTCAGCTCCACCCTCTCCTTAGGAATTGTGCAATTGATTTCCTGCAATAAATTTTTAACCCTGTCCTCTCAAGTTTTACTGATCAAAACCAGCATCGTACCAACCAACTCGCCTCTTTGTAATAATAATTAGCCCCAGAAGGGAACAAAATGCAGGCCAACAGAAAATGCCTGTATTTGTTCCTCTCTCAGGGGACGATAGCAACTCATAACACTGGTGGTTTAGACTGGTGAAAACACACAGAGAACAGATAAACTTGTCTCCTTCCACCATCGCCCCAATCCAAATCGAGGCCTCTGTGACTGCAAGTTATTTACAAATGCTCCAAATATTTGATCACATATCTCTT